ATCAATGCAAGCTAGAAATACTTTGTGGTTGTAACTTCTCAAACAGACTGAATTTCAAATTCCATAATGTTAACAGCCTTCTCTACAGAAGAACTAAACATTTTACTATACAACATGGACATCAAAATGTCACCTTGAAGCTGCCTCCCCTAATACAAGCATATCTCCTTTCATAATAATGCTTCACTTTATTGTGCTTTCTATAGATACTGTGTTTTTTGACAATTGAAGGTCTACGTCAAGTCTAAATTCTAAAAATATGTGATTCATAAAACAGGAAAAATAGAAAGAAGGGGCAGAGGAGCAAAGAAAGCCAAAAAACAAAAAACCCAAAGAAACAAACCAAACCAACAGATGAGAGAAAAACTAAAGGACAAAATGACAGACCAAAATACAACTTATTACATTAAGCATAAATGAACTAAATACTCCAAAGAAAAGGCAGAGATGATCAGACTACACATAAAAGAACCGTTTGTAATATATATTTAAATATAAAGACACAAAAAGACTTAAAGTAAAAGATTATAGAAAAAAACATAGAAACCATGCAAACAATAAACATAAGAAAACTGTAGCAGCTTTATCAATATTAAACAAAGTAAGTATCAAGACAAGAAATACTGTGAGACAAAAAGGGGCCCTTCACAATGGTAAAAGGGTCAACATATCAAGAAGACATATGCATCTAATAATGAAACTACAAAAAAGAGAGAAATTCATAGTCATGGTTGAAAATTTAAATACACTTTTCACTCAGTAATTGATAGAACTAGACCAAAAAAATCAGGAAAGATACAGAAGATCTGAATGACTATACATACAGGCAGCCCTTACTTTGAGTTACTGCATGTGAGAACAGTGTCCCCACTTTCCACTGTTCTGATACGCAAGGTTTTGGTTAACACAGTTCCATGCTGAGTAAGGACTATCTGTATATGTTTTTGTATAGTTTTGAATTTTGGAAGCATGTGAATGCTATATGTATTAAAATAAGAATCAATAAGGATGGAAAGGCAGCGGTGTGAGGGAGGGAGACTGAAACTGAAAGCAAACAACAACAACAAAATAAGCCCAACCATATTTCAAATGAGTAACATAACACATTGAAGGGGGAAAACTAACCTAATTTATGAATACAGTACTTGACCAGATGCCCTTAATCTTGGGTAAAGTAGGGGAGAACTGCAAATAAATCCTGAATTCTTTTTCGTAAGTATGTTTTCTCTTTTTGTACGGACAAAGCAATTCTGAAACTATCTGAGATATATTAAAGAATTAAGCAAATGAGTAAATTGTTGATGTTATTGGGAGCCAGGGCTCAAGGGACAAAAATACGAAAGGGGTAAGAACTAATACAAGGAAAGCCCTGTGAGAATGAACTGGAATTGGAAGTACTACAACTGGGTGAATTCATGATTTCTAAATTACGTATGTGTTGTATGTATTATATACGTGTAAGTGTCTACACACATATGTATTTCCTAACTGTCTGCTAAAGGGGCTTCTGGTTATATATGAGTAGCAATGAATACATCCAACACCCAGATCTTGATTTTTTAGTTATCATTTTCTACTAAAAGAAACTAGGGCTCTTTGGAAAAACAGCTGATTCCAGGACTGTGACAGAGAAGAAACAAAATGAACCTAGAAGAGCTGTTATACCACAAAGTGATAAAGGCCTTAAAAAAAAAAGAAGAGGAAGAAGAAAAAAGACAGGATTATGTCACAGGCAGCATACAGCAGTCAGTCTGAGGGGCTCCTAGAGGCCACAGAGGACAATTTAAGCACCAAAATAATGAAGGACTGTAAAGAAAGAATAGGAATCCATGAATCCATGAATCCATGCTGGTAATAGTTAATTGGGAAATAAGGGAAGACTCTTGGTATAGAGCAGAATGTCAACTGCTGTGGTTTTCTTTGTGTTAACACTTGAAAAAATTTTAAATGATGTATTTTTGGAACCCAGTAAACCAAAACAACACTTTAGAAGCTGCTGACAAAACACAGACTTTAGAACAGTGTGACTCAGTGAAGAACTGACCTTAATTAGAATCTCCTTCGATCTATAATTAGGGACAGGTTATCCTAAATATACTACTTTGGAGTACAAAGCTCTCACACAACAAAACTTCATAGTTTTGCCTTCACCAACTATAATCTTAGTTTGTTTAAAATGTGACTAACTGGTTGATAAAACCAGCCAAAGAAAAGAAAATGTATCCATTACATCATTGTCTTAACACAAAGATGTATATGACAAATCCCTCTAGACTTGAGTGCCAGAATTTCTTTTCCTCCAAAAAACACGCACAGTATACCACGAAATAAGAGCTAAGTAGTCCATCAAGTTTCCTTTGCTGCCGGAAACCTGAGCTTTTCTTCTCTATCCAGTTGTTTTAGATATAATTTGTCTTCTATTTAAATGCACATGGGCCTATATTTTGTTTGCAAAATATCTCAAATCCTTTAAGATGGAATTTATAAAATAAATTAAAAACCTAAAAAAAATCGTAATATGACTGCAACACTAATTGGAAAGAATTTAGTCTTCTAATAGTGCTACGAATACAGCAATTTAGTTCATCTGTGGTTTGAAAGTCAGCGTTAGTCAGTGCAAAAAAAATTCAGAATGACTGTTTTTTTTAAACTCTGACAAAAAGTGTTAGAACCAATTTTTACAAAGTTGTATTTCTGCCCCCAACGTTTTACCTGGGAAATTCAAAACTATATTTCAGATAATTTGAAAAGAACTTCCCTTTACAGTGTGAGACCTAAAACTTTTAAAGTAATAAAATTCAGGGGTGCCAGCGTGGCTCAGTCAGTTAAGTATCAGGCTCCTGACTTCAGCTCAGGTCTTAATCTCCTGGTTTGTGAGTTCGAATCCCGTGTCAGGGATTCTCTCTCTCTCCTGCCCACCCCCCGCACGCAGGCGCGTGCCCTCTCTCTCTCTCAACAATAAAAACATTAAAAAAGAGAATTTACAGGACTCCCTCTGCCCCTCCTTGGCTTGCACTGTCTCTCTCAAAACAAATAAACTTTAAAAATAAATATATACATAAAAATTCCTAGCACAGTATCTCTTTATTACACCTCATCTACATCATATTAAACAAATGTATGTTGAATAAACGTATAATAAATCTTCTTCAAGGCTATCTTTGCAGGTCTGGGGATGGGTAGATGAGTAGGTAGATACAGGAGAAGCACGAAATTCTGTCCAAAACTGCTCTTCAAATGTTTGAAAGTTGCTATGATTATTTTGGAAAAAGTAATCCAATGTTATGATTCTGAATCTATAAGAAATGTAAATGTACAAGAAAATTCACTGAAAGAAAAAAAGGAACATCAGGCCAAAACTTCTTGAGACACAGACCACTTGAAAAATGTCCTTCCAGACGTCAGAAGAAGCCTAAATCTTAATTAGGTATTTAATATTCACGCTTACTATACCATATTAGTTTAGCCACTTAAAACTCAGACTTGTGCAGAGCTGTGTTTTTATGTACATGTCATTTTACCACACGACGCAGTCCCTTTTATAAAATCTACAGCATATTTAGTCCTTCTATGATTAAAAAAAATCCTCTGCAACCAGACTTTCTGACATAATGACATACAATACTGAATCATTCCAAGGTAAAAAAAACAAAGCTTAGCATACTACTAGTATATTAAAAATTAACCTATCAGCAAGGACACAAATACACTGGGTACAAAACAGAACTGTGTACTCAGGCACTTGTTTTTATTATGGGCTGGAAATAAAAATAGAAGTGATAAGTACCCAATAAGTGGTACAAACAAGTGTCACAGAAATGCAGCAAGGAAGACTGGTTTCCGGGAGCAGAACATGGGGTAAGGCCATCGGCCTGGAATAGAGTGGGCTGTGAACACAAGAAGCTTGGTTCTTTAAAATATCTATGGCAGGGAATAGTGAACTATGATCCATGGGCCAAATCCAGCCCCCTGCTTGTTTCTGTGTTGCCTATAAACTACCAACGGTTTTTACATTTTTAAATGATTGGAAAAAAAAAAAAATCAAAAGAGGAGTAGGTCATGATACACGAAAATTATGAAATTCCTATGTAGACCTTTATGGAGACACAGCCATACCACGCCCATCCGTTTACCTGTTTTCTAGGATTGCTTTCATATTACAAGGGCGAGCTGAGTAGATGCCACACAGACCATCTGAATCATAAAGCCTAAACTATTTACTATGTGGCCCTTGAGAGAAAACATTTGCCAAACTCTTTCCTGAGAAAGGCCTATGTGGCTGAGGCACTAGGAGTGAGGGGCTGGGAGGAAAAAGAAGCTAGAGAGGCAAGAGGGGCACGTGGGCCATAGCGAGGATTTGCGTCTATATTCTAAGAGTAACAGGGAAGCCCTTAAACAATTTGAAGTAGAAAAGTGACAGGAAGATTTGCATTTTAAAAAGCTCATTCTGGTGGTTACACAGGTAACCAGCATGAGGAAAAAAGTAAGGATGTTAGCGTAGTAAGTAGTTTAAGCAGGATATGAACATAGCTAAGACTTATGGGGCTGGGAAAGTAAAAAAAGGAGGCTGGGCAAGATTATTTCCGAGATGCCTTTCAGCTCTAAAATTTTAAGAATCACAGGGGTTTCTAAGTCTGGTTTTGCAACTTTTCAGGGTATTTCCAATGATCACAAACAAATCTCAAAAATGTTATACTATGTAACATTTACTATATATGTTATACATATAACAACTCTCCAATAGGAAGTTAGAAATATGCCAACAGAGCATCAAGCATCTAAAGTTTACTGAAGAATAAATGATCCTCTCCATTAGAATACTTTCTAAAATATGGTTTAAATTTTTTGCAAGCCGGAAAGGACTAGTTTTATGAAATTCATGGTCAAAGAATTACAGTTCATACATAAATGAACACAATGGGGGAACAAACACAAATGTGTGTGCATAAATTTTCACCGCACTTTCCCATAATGTAGCAATGAGGGAACAAAGAACATACCTGCTACATTCTAACAATGTAACTTTGAGACGGCCTTCGGTAAGTGCCCACTGTTGTATATGGATATGTTCTTCTTCATCTTCTTCAAATCCTTGCAAGGTTTGGAATGGAAAAAACGGCTTAAACCTGAGAAAAGTAAAGATAAGTCTAAATTTTTGAACAAGAAACACCACAGCTTAACGCATAATAACAAAACCTATCTGTAGGAAAACAACACAAAACGAAAACCTAAACTGCCCGTGCTCCATAAATCCAAAGCTTATCACACTCAACTGGCAGCAGATGGTACCTTCTCTGTGGCACCCAGACCCCCCTGGGTTTTTGGCATGCTCTCGGTGACAAGGCAGGACACTTAGAAAAAAGAACAAGAAAATCTGAAGATCCCCATTAGGCCCTAAAACTTGGGTGGGGCAGGAGAGTGATTCTTTCTGGACTAGATGGAAGAGTGTCCCTACAGTACAAGATCAAAATTCAGAATGCATTTTTCATGGAAACAATACAATTGACAGTAATTAGCACATGATAATGATTACTCATCACAACGACATCAACAACAATCAGTGACGGCAAGGATAGCATCAGAATCGTTTACTATTTGCCAGACAGTGTGCTAAAGCTTTCCAAGCTCACAATACTGAGAGGGCTGATAGACTAGCTTCCCTCCCCAGATGAGAACAGCGAGCCTCACAGGTTAAAGGATTTGTTCAATGTCACATGGTGGGTGGCAGTACCAGGATTCAAGCTAGCATGATTCCATCAAAGCCCAAATTACATAACACTTCGGTTACCTATGAATAATTCAGGCTTGTCCTATGTGCTTATTGTTTAACACTTTGGTTTTCACGGAGAAGCTTGTGCTGAGTTATGAACTGTAGCCTTTAAAATCTTTAATTTGAAACACAATTCATACTCCTCCATTAAAGCAAAGGACAAAGAAAATGAGAGAAAATTGGGCTCGGGAGTGTATAGTTTTCAATTCCCCTTATACACTGTTACTGGATCCAGCATTTGTCTGCTTCAAACTTCAGCGCTTCTCACTAACCTCACACAAAAAAGACAGTCAAAAGTCCTTGGTTTCTCACATTCAGGGTCCACCACAATTTATTTTCCCAGTGGCATTTTTCGCTATTAGAAACCTTCCTTTCGGGGCGCCTGGGTGGCGCAGTCGGTTAAGCGTCCGACTTCAGCCAGGTCACGATCTCGCGGTCCCTGAGTTCGAGCCCCGCGTCAGGCTCTGGGCTGATGGCTCGGAGCCTGGAGCCTGTTTCCGACTCTGTGTCTCCCTCTCTCTCTGCCCCTCCCCCGTTCATGCTCTGTCTCTCTCTGTCCCAAAAATAAATAAAAAACGTTGAAAAAAAAATTTTTAAAAAAGAAACCTTCCTTTCTAGCAAGTGCAGTCACCTCAAGTACCCAGAAGATACCACGCATATTCCAGCTCTCAGGTCTTTCGAACCAACTGGATGTTTTCCCTACTTCTGCAAGCCTAGACAAATCCTAAACACTTTCTATAATCGGCTTTAGGTCCTAGATCACAGCAGAGCACACGCACTGTTTTCACTCTTTATTTTGCAGTCACTTAAATTGCTGTGCATTTACGCTTTGAAATCTCAAATGTGACATGCTCACGACTGTTTGTACCCTTCATGCACACCATCAGGACTCAAGTATGTGTTCAGCTTATTTATAAAAATCCAATGCTAAAAATGAAATAAACATTTAGAAAATAATAGCCTACTATAGTTCATACGGGAAGATATTGACATAGGGGGAGAAATACTGTTTTATGGCTTCCCCGTGAAAAGGATTAAAGGAAAATCTTTTTAGGGACAGATAGATACACAAACAATGTCCTGAGCTTTTCTCCTGCTTCTGAACTAGATGGGAAACAGAAAGTCCTCTTCAGCTCCTTAATTTGCATTTGAAGTCATTTGGTTCAAACTCGCACCAAATTTTTGAAAGGAAAAAGAAAATTAGGAACTAAATTCATCATGCTAATACAATGTTGTAGCTGAGTGCTTTTAACACACAAGCCTCATGGCTCCTGTAGAACATGTGACTGTCACTCTGTGAAACATTACAAAGATCACTATACTATATACACAACCAACTTTGAATATAATAATGCAGCTAAATCAAAGCTGCTCTATGAATCAACTTTTCTTGTCATGTATAAACTTACAATTCAGCAAGAATATTTTCCCACAGGTGTGTGACTTCAATGTTCTATGGAATAAAATCTAATTTGGTTTATTAATGCTTCTAGCAGCATTTGCTAAAAGTGTTTATGCACAAAAGGACATTAAAATCAGAAAAAATGTATTCCATTTAAAAATAATACACTAAACACTGGGATAAAGCTATTTGTTCACCAAGCTAATAAACAGAATCCACACATTTGCATTCTCTAAGGACACTGTTTTCAAAAATTTGAAGTCTAAGCCTTTAAGTATCTCAAACCAATAAAGAAATCCAAACAGCAAAGCAGGCTACTTCTACCCCTTAGTTTTATCTTCCCATCCGACTGCACTATCCTTCCTCAGGATTCATTAGCCTTTCTTCTGTTAGCCTATCAAACATGTCACTGTTTTCTCACTCAAGCTCCCTGAACAAGCTACCTGTACTTCCTCCTGTGGAAGCCTTAAAAAACCAACCCAGAAAGATCAACTTCTAAAATGACAGCACGGGGGGGGGGGGGGGG